GCTGCGGGTGTTGGCGCGGAGGCTACTGCTGTCGGTCCTGGAGGCGGTCCTGCTGGGGGTACTACTGGTGCTGCTGGGGGTTCTGGAGCTGGAGCTGCTACTGGTGCTGGTGCTGCCCCTGGGGGTGCTGGTGCTGTCTCTCCTGTGTCTGGAGTCGCCGCGCGGCCTCAGCCGTACTTCGTTCCGCTCCTTCAGCAGGTTCTTGGTCTCCCGCCTTCTACTGGTCCTCCTCCTCCCTTAGAGTGTCCACAGCCTGTCCCGTCGCAGTTCTAGTTACCGCCGGCCTCCCCGCTGCCTGCTCCGTCTCCCTACACTGGTCCTACTGGAGGTCTTACTGAGCGTCGTGAGCCTGCGTCTCGTCCTGCGTCGCCTGTCCGTGCTGCTCGCACTAGTGGTCGCGGTTCGCGTCAGCGTCCTCCTCCTGTCCCTGGCACGCACCGGATGTCTCTGCGTCCGTCCACTGCTCCTCTGCGTGCCCCTTTGCCTTCTCCTCCTGAGTCTTCTCTTCCTACTCTTGCCGACCCGGAGTCGGACTCTCTTTGCGCTGCCAGTCCTACTGTCACGCGTCTCCTTGCTACGGTTGTCACTGACCCTTCCTTGAGTCCACTGCTGCGTCTGCCCTAGTTGCTGAGCTCGTCGACTTTGCTGCTTGCTGTCGCCTAGACTACGTCGCCAGTCTTGTTGCTGAGTCTGAGTCTGTCTGTCCTCCGTCCGTCGGGGGTGAGTGTGCCCTTGGCACGGACGTCCTTGAGGACAGGCAGGAGGAGTTCCAGTGCTTGGCCGCTGCTTCACCTCATCTCGTGTCCGTACTGCTTACCCCTGAGGGAGACCCGGATGCACTTGACATCCCGACTCCGCGCTCTTACGCGGAGGCGATAGAGGGTCCCTACTCCTCTCAGTGGCAGGCAGCTATGGACGCAGAGATGGCTTCCTGGAAGTCCACAGGCACCTACGTTGACGCTGTTCCCCCTCCTGGGGCGAACATTGTCAGTGGCATGTGGATTTTCAGGGTGAAGCGACCGCCGGGTTCTCCGCCTGTCTTCAAGGCGCGTTACGTGGCTCGTGGCTTCAGTCAGCGGCAGGGAGTTGACTACTTTCAGACCTTCTCTCCCACCCCGAAGATGACCACTCTTCGGGTACTGCTGCACGTAGCTGCTCACCGTGACTACGAGCTACACTCTCTTGACTTCAGCACTGCTTTCTTGCAGGGCAGCCTGCACGAGGAGATCTGGCTGCGTCGCCCACCTGGCTTCACTGGGTCTTTTCCTCCTGGCACCCAGTGGAGCCTACGGCGGCCAGTCTACGGTCTCCGCCAGGCACCGCGTGAGTGGCACGACACACTGAGGACTACACTTGCGGCTCTTGGGTTTGCTCCCTCTACTGCCGACCCGTCGCTGTTTCTGCGCACCGACACTTCTTTGCCGCCGTTCTACATCCTCGTGTACGTGGACGACTTGGTCTTTGCCACAGCTGACACTGCTGGACTAGCCCACGTGAAGTCCGAGCTGCAGAAGAGACACACGTGCACTGACCTGGGTGAACTGCGCAGCTACCTTGGCTTGCAGATCACTCGGGACAGAGCACGCCGCACCATTACCCTGACTCAGTCACACATGGTGCAGCAGGTCCTTCAGCGCTTCGGCTTCACGTACTCCTCGCCTCAGGCCACTCCTCTGCCTACTCGCCACTCGCTCTCAGCTCTGCCTTCGGATGAGTCCGTAGAGTCGAGTGGCCCGTACCCAGAGCTTGTTGGCTGCCTCATGTACCTGATGACCTGCACACGACCTGACCTTGCATACCCTCTTAGCATTCTTGCACGCTATGTTGCTCCTGGGAGACACAGACCGGAGCACATGGCTGCAGCGAAGAGGGTGTTGCGCTACTTGTGCAGTACGTCGGGCATGGGGCTTGTGCTTGGAGGGCAGAGTCCAGTGGTCCTTACTGGGCACGCAGACGCTTCTTGGGCTGACGACCAGGCTACGCAGCGGTCGTCACAGGGTTACACCTTCAGCCTTGGTTCCGGCTCTGTTTCGTGGCGGGCTACTCGCTCGTCTTCTGTTCTCGGCTCCAGTTGTGAGGCTGAGATCTACGCAGGAGCCATGGCTGCACAGGAGCTTCGCTGGCTCACCTACCTGCTGACTGACCTCGGAGAGTTGCCTCGTTCTCCTCCAGTGCTGTACGTAGACAACAAGGCCATGCTGGCCTTGTGTCGGGAGCAGCGACTGGAGCACAGAACGAAGCACATTGCTCTCCGCTACTTTCTTGCTCGTGAGCTGCAGCAGCGTGGTCAGCTGCGTCTTGCGTACGTGGCCTCTGAGGCCAACACTGCTGATATCTTCACCAAGGCACTTGCGCCTTGTGACCATCAGCGCTTCTGTACTCAGCTGGGCCTTGTGCCTACCTTGCCTCACTTGCTCACCTCTTGACCTTGCTTGTACTGTTACATATATATATTCCTGCTCTTGTTTGTCTAGCCTTTTTATATATATGTGTACTCCTGCTTGTGAACTGGCCTTGTGGCCTTGAACTTGTGCTCGGAATGTGTGGTGACTTTGTGATCCACCCTGAGCTTGTTTTTGCTTTGCTTTGCTTGACTGGTCTTGTGACCCCTTGTTCTCCCCCACTTTGCCTATGGGGGTGTGTCAGATTTATATGACATAGCTACTGTAGGCTATAATGGGGTAGCACATATGGGGTACAGTTTCCTAGGGTTTACTTCTTGTACCCAACTTTCACTTAGTCTTTCCCATTCCTCGTTTCTTCTCACGGATTTGGAACAGCAATCGTACAATGTCGAACTATGAAGCGCTCGTGCGAGGAAGTTGGAAGGCTAGATCATGGACTGCGCTGGCTTTTGGGGAGTCCGCTGGAACGCAACAGGGAGTGCTGACCTAGCTTTGCTTGTAGTGAGCCTGTTCCATAAGCTGGTCGCGCATATCTGTAGATTTCACCGAAACTTTCAGTGAACCACTCTGCGCATTAGCATTACCGCTCCAGACACCAAAAAGGAGATCGAAGTCTCAAAGCTCGGACGTGCCATCAACTGGACATGACGCACGGCTCGCGGGTGCGGTGCGGGGTGTTGTTCAACCTAAGGGCGTGGTCCACTCTTGTTCAACCCGTGATCTTACGAACATGTTGCTCAAAAGAGCAGTGTACAAACGAATGTGGTCAGAAGTCGACCATTTCGGACAATTTCGAGGTGTTCCACAATGGGTATCCTCCCCCCGAACAAGAAAGCCAACGCCAAACGACGAAACGCCAAACCCAGCAGTGATTAGCGACGAACCGGGAAACCCGGCACTGCAAAGCGAGGAAACGCGAAGCCCAGTTCACGTGGCCAGAAGAACAAGGTTAACACGCCTTCGACTCGCATGTTTCGCCATTGAAATTGTAATTTCGCTGACCAGCTTGAAACACAGCTCGTTCCAGTTGTGTTTGCTGACGAACGTGCTGCTCAATTATCCTTGATCATTTCGTTCGTCATACCAAGGTCAAGACGTGACTGGTCTTGACCATCGGTGAAACTTGTAGTTACTGTATACTAATTACAGTTCCGTCGCTCAAGAAAGAAATCTCTTGAAAACGAGTGGAACACGCCCTAGGCGCGTCACGATTCCGCAATCTGAAAATTCAGTTTGAAGCCAGCCCACATTTCCACACGGTCTACATTTCGTAAAATCCGTTATAGCCAACCTATACATTTTCTAAGGGTCTTGCACTTCAAGTATCATAAGTACATCCGTATTCCCCAGTACATACCGTATTCCCCGGATATAATACCCTAGGGTCTTCTGTTAAACCCCCTAAAAAAGGGAGGGGGTCTTCACCTGGGCCTAAAATAATAGGGTAAAATACCATTTAGGGTACATTCCTGCCTGGACATTTGTGTCTCGAAGAGTTTGTGACGCGTAAAAACAACATATAACGTACAATGTCTCAAACGCGAATCGCCCAAGTGCGATTTTTCTGTATTTCTCATTGGTCAGCGTGAAACGCGCTGACGTCGTTGACGAATTGTAAACCGACTCGTCATTGTTAAAAGATCGTATGCGGTTCGAAATGTCAATGCACCTGGACAGGCTGCAATGCGAATTTCTCGCGGGAAAACACCCCGCGCGTCGAAACCACACTCCAGCCAGGGCCTCAGATTCGTTTTGTCCTAGGCTGAAACGTCAGCCTTACCAGGCTTTGCTAGGCTGATCAATCAGAGTTGTATCCGAAAAAATTGCTGAAATATCAGTGTAGGCCTTAAAAAAAACGCTGACTAATCAGCCTCACTAAAAAATTAAGGCTGAACCATGCTAAGAGCTTTTTTTTTTCCGTTAAGTTTAGCGGGCCAAACAAACAAGGCAAGGCAACATTACAAGCTCCTCCCTAACTGCTCATTTCATCATCTTCATCACTAGAACACTCTACCGCATCTCCTACTGGCTCCTCCTCGTCATCTACATCTATCTCCTCCTCCTGATGCTTGCCCTTCTTGCTGGTGTCGCCTGGGGTTGGGGTGCAGATGGGGGCATTGCTGTAAGGCTTCCGCTTCCTGTAACTCCGCCATATCTCAACTACTTCATCGAAGTTTGGCTCGTATTGCATCAGGGACATGCACATGAGGTCCCCCAGCCTTACGTCCTTGATGCCCCCTCGCCGCCATGACTTGATCACGTTTTGCCGTGTGAATCCCCTTTCACACTCCACTGTGCTGAGGGGAATGACCGCCACTGCCACCCAGAGCTGCACCAGATTGGGGTAGCTCTCCCGCCAGTCCGGCGTCTTTAGCATCGCCGTCAGTCCACTGTGGAAGCTTCTCTCCTCCTTGGGGGCACGTGCAAGGACTGAACAGAAGAGGCGAAGCTCCTTGCTTGCCAGCCTCTTGTTGATGCCTGGAGGAGGGAGGGTGATTCAGACGAAGAGGAGGTAAATAAACACACAGCATAATCAAGCATAGGGGTGAACATAAAGACTAAGCAAGCATAGGCTAATCAAGCATAAAGGCAATTCTAGCATATGGGCCTGACATTCCTAGTTACCCCAAACGTACCTGGTAAGATCTCATCGCGGTGCTGTCCCTTGAACATCGTCACCAGCGAGTTCAACCATTCCTGGCACCGAGCATTCCGCTCCGACTTGCTCTGTGGCCAGGCATCAGGAATGAACAGGCAGACTCCAGAGAGCGAGTCGAGGTCACCGAGCCTCCCCTCCATGTTCGCCACGATCCTCTCCGCGAACTCGGTGCACATCTGGATGCAGCCGTCGTGGTCCTCTGGGCCGCTGTATGAGTCCACGGGGTCGTCGTGAAGAGTGAACGTGAAAGAAGCTGGTCGGCCGTTGCTGTCGACTCCCTCCACCTTCACTTCGCGGTTACACCCCGGGCCATGGCGCTCCAGGAAAGGTGACAGCCACTGGCTCGCTCCACCGCCGAAGTCATCGCCGCAGTCCACGTAGCAGCTCTCGATGTGATTGGTTGTCCGCTTGATCTGCGCATGCAAAGACACCAGATCAAGCTGGACAACAGAAAGGGACACAAACACAATAGTTAGAATAGTGGCGTAGAATCACATGCGTATGTACCTTCGTAACTCTTCAACTGTCTCTGCTAGAAGGTCTTGTTCAAGATATTGAGCTGCTCAAGCACACCAGCCAAGAAGAAAAGGAAGAAGTGAAAACGGTAGGAGCTGGCCATAGTATACATCTTGCTGTTAAGCTCCTTCAGCATCGCAATCACTGCCGGCAAAACAGCAAGGAGCCGACGGACGGCATCCCCTCGTGAAAGCCACAGAACCGAGTGGATGCCTTGGACCTCAAGGCTCATTTCGGTAAACATCTCTTGCAGATCCATGAACCGCGCGTGGCGCGGACCCGACCGTCCCAGCAACTCGGACACAGCCCGTATAAGACCGTCGACCATGTCGAAGACGGGGAGCTCCTCTGCCGCATCCTTCGCTGCAAGAGCCTCCCTGCAAGTGGAAAACAGAGTAATGAGTGACATTAGCGAAGTGTACGAACAGGATAACGTTACGGGCTTAGGAAGAAACCACGCACTAACATGTGAGCGATGCAGTGAACGGAGACAAGGTGCGGGACTTTCTGACGCAGGCGGACAACCAGGCCGGACTTCGTCCCGATCATCACTCTAGCACCGTCGGTGCTAATGCTGGAAATCCTCTGCAGATCAACACCGACTGCCTGCAAGTGGGAAAGGAGGATGCTGAGAAGAGAAGCAGCGTCAGCTTCTTCCACCGTAATCAACTGCATGAACTCGGTCACGAGTACGTTGTCGCGGATGAACGTGGCGTATAAGATAATGTGCTTCCCCCTTAGCCGATCCGTGCTTTCATCGATGCAGATGCCGATGAAAGGACTTGTCAAGATGTGCTCGAGCTGAGTTGTCTATAGCCAGGTGGCAAGGGACTGCGTCAGCTCACTGAAGCCGTACCTGCCAGCAGGACAAACCATGGAACACTTATTAAACTATTCGGAAGAATCTTCAAAAGGACCACTCCACTTAGCTGCCTACTACTCACGTTGTGTAGTAGGTGCCGTACCCCTTTTTAGGGAACCCTTGTACACCCTTGCGCGCGAGGTACTGCACCAGCTTCACCCATGTTCCCATGGGCGCATCGCACTGAGTGACGAACAGCATGGTGTCGAGCAATGCAATGACTCGGATCTTCTCTGCATCGACGGCGTCACGATGTTCGTCGATCCGTGGCTGCTTGGACACCGCGTTCAGCAGTGCCTCCTGCTTCTCCATCACCAGCTTGTGTTTCGTTGTACCGGCGTGCTTGCGAAACGCCTGAGTCTGCACGTCGGTCGCCCCTCGCCCTGTGCGGCCACATCGTCCCCTGACTCCGGCATGCTTGGTGCAGACACTGCAATTAAAGGCAGGGAAACCGGATTTAGATTTCGTTAGAACAAGCCACGGGAACCTCTCAGACCACTTGGATTTATACTTCAAGAGGGCGTCAGCACAGACGGCATCGATGGCCTCAGAAATGTCTATAACCAATGCTGGGCGAGGGGAGGTGTTGATCGGAACAGGTTGCTCGACTGCGGCGCTGGAGGATGGCCTTGCCCAGCTAAGCGTCGACTGCTTCAGCTTGAAGGTGAGGGGGGCGGACGACTTCGTGGTAGGCAGCTCGAATACCACGGTGTCGGAGACAGCAGTCGGCATAGCAGGCTCACTCTGGATCGAATCCGGGCTTGAACAAACGGGGGGGTGGTCGTGGTTCTCGAATCTAGCTGGCTTTGCAGAAGGCGCCTGGCTGTGAGGTTCACACCAGGGCCAAGCGAGCGCAGGAGCAAATCTAGGCCCCTCCTGGCTTCTTCTAGGCCGTCTACGTCATCACCGTCTAGATATGCATCACTGTCGCTGCCCAAGCCTTCGGCAGGGCCATCCATGGCTGAAGGGAGAGAGCGTGCCGAGCTCTGATGTTGCTAGGGTTTGTGAAAACCTGTGCGAAAGGCAGGTGATTGACAGTGCAGCTCGCTTGGTGGGTGGGCACAGTGGGGTCATCAAGAGAGGGGTGTAAAAGAAGGGCCATCGTGCACACCACCCAGCTGCAACGCGACGCGACGTGGGGGCACCATGCACGCACTTGGATGCAGGTTCGGGGTGGGTGAGATGGGGTGAGGTGGGTGTCCATGTCGTGGGGGCGTGCGGTGCGTTACTGTGCTGCACTGAGGGTGGGTGATTGGTCCATAAGTGATGTGATTGGTTAAACAACTAATCACATCACTTTACGCACGCCGTCGGTGACAACAACGCAACCGACGCGTCGGGGAAATTCGGCTTTCCCTCATCGTCGGCGCTGTAGATGGCAACTTTTGCCAGATGGACGGGGGATGTACCTAGACAGCCGAAACTCACGGCTTCCGCACGAATCCGTAATTCCGTGAATTCAGCCTACACTCTCGTTACAACGCTGATTGATCAGCGAACACTTGCTAAAAAACGCTGAAACTTCAGCCATTACATTAAAACAAAAGCTGAAAAATCAGTCAATACATAAAAAAAAAGACTGGTGAATCAGCCAACACATTAGCCACATGTCTAGGAAATCAGCCTCCAGACCCTAATTCAGCCTTTTTTCTCTGACATCTGAGGGCCTGACTCCAGCCAATTGGTTGAAGAAACGGGTGTATAATCATTTGTGTCACCCAATCACGTGCGCGCAACTGTGCATTTCGCCTGGTCGCCTAGTGTCGCGATACATTCTTCTTTTGTGACGCGAGATTGACACAATGTTTCAACGCGACTCGGGAAAAAGGGGATTGAGACACAAATGTCCTGGCAGGAATGTGCCCTTATTATACCCCTTCTTGGCCACTTACTTTACATACCCTAATCTAGGCAGTCTAATTGGATTGCTACCCTTTCTCAAAAAGAGAGAGTTTTTTTTTACCCATTGGAAAAAGATATACGATTTGTTTCCCCTGACTAGACCGTGTATCATTTGAGTTATACTGACACCAGGCCCCAAAATGTATGGGTAAAATACCCTGATTGCACTGACTGGCGGCCAGCTGAACCACCTGAACCAACGCCTCCAGTAGAGACAGGTGAGTGGTTGTTGGTTTTTTGTTTTTTGTTTTTTGTTTTTTTTGTTCTTACATGTTCACTTGCTATTCTATACCCTTTCGATTTACCTTTTGCCGCTGATATCCTTGTATTTGGTTATGCAGATTGACGTTACCATTGTGGCGCACATCGTGCAGCAGACGCGGATGCGGCTGAAAGCGTGCTACCCCAAATCGGACCCCGGTCACGTGTTCGGCAACGGGGAGCATATGACACTTCCGGAGTTCATCAAGAAGCATAAGAAGATGGACAAACGTGAGATGCGGCAGAAGGCATCGACACGGACGGAAATCCAGTGTCGTTCTCCTTCAACCTCCATGAGTGGCCGTTGAAAGGGCAAGAAACCGATGGCGACATCACTGCCTGCTATGAGTTGTCATTGAAATTCATACGCGTAGTCGACAAGGAGCTGAAATGGCGGATGTGGGATCTCGACAACCAGGAGGGGTCAAAGCTGTTCCGCATAGCTTCATACATCTTGGACGATGCCAAGCGCGTGGAGGCATTCAAACGCTGGCTGGGCAAACTGCACAAGCTCTACCATGACAAGCTTCCAGGTAAGTGGTGTTGTATTGAATCGCCCAACTTTTCTTCCAGCCCCTTGTGACTCTCTGGCTCTCCACCAGTTGCATGTATCCATCTTGTTTTGTTTGAATAACGCACCCCCTTCCTCCCAGTATCTGCGAGTACAGCCCTGTTTAACCCCCACCCCGTACCCGAGAGTTCAACTACAGCAAGGCGAGCAACGAACTGCGGATGTTCACCTCCACCATGTTCAGTCAGCATAACGAGGGGGGACTTCCACCAGGCCCATTCGAACAAGATGCGTGACGACGGTTGTCAGCAGTCCTTCCCCAATATCATGAAGATGTGGCAAGCCGTCGCCGTTCTGCCACTGAGCATGGTGGAATGTGAGCGCGGTTTCAGCAAGCAGAACCTCATCAATACTTGGGGGAGACGGTGCTTCTCAGACACCATCCTGGAGCACCTCATGCGCTGTTCCCTGGTGCAGTATGAGGTGGACGGGCTTGAGGTAGTGGGCTGTGAGGGCCCAAGAAGTCGATTCTGGGTGGCAACAGCCTAACAAGTCAACGATCTCTTGGATCGAGTGCGTTGTGCAGCAATCGTCTCGAAGCTGGACCTACGGTCGGGTTACTGGCAGATCAAGATGGCAGACAACTCTATCCACAATAATGCGTCCCGTACCAGATACGGCTCTTACGTGTACTTGGTGATGCCGTTCGGACTCTGCAACGCACCAGCAACGTTTTTATGCAGAGATGAACCACATCCTACGGCCCCTGCTCGACAAGTGCGTAGTAGTATGTCTGGACGACATTCTTGTCTACTCCAAAATTATGAAGGAGCACATGGAGCACCTGCAGAAATTCTTTGAGATCCTGCAGTTTTACGTAAAGCTGTCAGCGATTTTGCCCTGAAGAAAGTGCAGTTTCTCGGGCACATGGTGAGTGTCGAGGGCGTACACGTGGACCCGTCGAAAACCGAAGCCGTAAAAAAGTGGAAAGTTCCTGAGAACGTTAAAGAGTTGCAGCAGATCCTAGGCTTCGCCAACTATTACAACAGGTTTGTACCATAGTACGCTAAAATAGCAGCGCCACTGACAAACTTACTCGAAAAATATACGCCCTATAAATGGGATACTCCTCAACAGCAAGCCATGGAGAAGCTACAGACAGCACTGACCACTGTCCCAGTACTCATCCTATAGGATCCAGAAAGAGAATATGTGGTGGAAGCAGACGCTAGTGACCAGGCAGTCGGAGCAGCGATGCATGATCACAGACAAGGTTTGCAGCCCATCGCTTACCTCACTAAGAAGCTACACAGAGCTGAACTGAATTAACCAATCCACAACAAGGAAGCCTTAGCGATAGTCACAGCCTTCAAGGCGTGGAGGTATTACTTGGAGGGAGCTAAGGCCACAGTCTATACCGACCACTGCAGTTTTAAATTCATCAAGTCGCAGCCTACACTCTCACGACGACAGGTGCGGTGGATGGACTTCCTCGAAACCCACTTCCACTACGAGATCATGTACAAGCTAGGGTTGCACAATAAGGCAGACACACTGAGCCGACCTGGGCATGTAGCAGGCATCCATCTCGACGGGACAAACCCTCTACTCAAGGTCCTAGAACTATGGCCCGCTATGGCAGTTCCTACTAAAGGAGTTCCACAATGTGGCATATGCGGGACATTTCGGGAGGAACAAGACGTTAGCAAGAATAGCTAAGTATTACTACTGGCCCCGGATGGCAGCAGACGTGTAGCAGTTTCTCACCTCATGCGACACGTGTCAGCGGATGAAGAGTAGCAAGCAGAAAAAAGCGGGGTAACTTCAGCCTCTACTCGTACCAAAACAACCATGGCAAGTTGTTAGTCTAGAT